CTGGACCCCGGCACCCACCTTTCTCTTGTCCTGAAACTCACAGAGGTTGCACGAGTGTGGGGTGGAGATGCTGGGATCTAGGCTCTGAGCCTGTGCCCCTGCCAGGCCCCGCCCTCCACTCCTGCTGCCTGGCCAAGGGAGGGTATGCAGCACACAAGCTCACATTTCCTCCACCCTTTACAACACCACTGGACACAACTGGGCAGCAAAGTGTTCACTTGCTTGCAACCTCCCTCCTGTCCAGGGGGTTCGGGTTTAGTCTGCGAAGGCAGAATCGGTGACATCTGATTAGAGCAAACACCATCATGAGGGAGCGGCGCTTTCTGAGAGTGATTTCCAGGTCCCTGGCCAGCTTGGCTAGCCAAGTCCTCCATCAGCTGGGTAATAACAGCGCCGGCCTTCGCTCCGTCTGGGTCCTCCCCTGGGAGGGCTGGGGAAATGGAGGTGGCTGCACTGAGCTTTCTGTCTTGTCATCCAGTAGCAATTTCCCTCCAGTTCAGGGCAACGGGCATTTGCAGGGCGTCTCCATTCATAAGGGACCCCACTCAGCGAAGTGAAGGGAATGAAACTGGCGAGACGAAGGCCTCAGGGTACTCACTCTCTCTGCCTTCTGGAGGGAAGCCTGGGGCGCCCTGCCCTGCTGCCCCACAGGGAAAGGGCCCCCTGGCCTGCTCTCTCACTCTCCCTCGGTCTCCTGTGCTCCATCACGGCCCCTCTCACAACGCTCTCTGCCACCTGTCCTCTCATCTCGCCCTTTGCCCGTCTCCTTCCCACTCGCCGTCTCCTCTTCAGCCCTTGTCCTCGGGGCTGTGATGAGTTAGGGGATCGGGGCGTACCGGTGGCGGCACACAGGAAAAGTTCAGGAAGCACTAACTCTCGCTGTCCACTGGTGGCTCCCGCAAGGGATACCGCGGTGTCCTGAGGCTGACCTCCTGCAGGGCTCAGCCCACCAGTCTAGCCCCCCAAAAGCGGCCAGGCTGCTCTTTCCAAGACGCAAGTCTATCCATGGCACAGACCTCCCACTGCAGCTGGATCAGGGCCCAATTCCCCGCAGTGGGCTGCTGGGCCTGCCTTCCTCACAGCCTTATCTTGGACTCCTTTCCTGCCTTCTCTGGGCTCCAGTCCTTTGAGCTCTCCAATGGGCCAGGATCCCGTCCTCCGTCCACACTACTCCCTGTTCCCTCCTCCGGGCTCCCTAAAATCTCAGCCATGGTTACTGTTTTCATTGCACACGTCTCCTTGGCCTGCTTCTCTCTCTCCCTCCGTTTTAGTTAGCAGGAGCGCATGTTGAGGTCTGATCGCCAGGTACTGTATTAATCCCCTTTTATGCGTGTAGGGACCAAGGCTCAGAGAGGCTGAGAACCTTGTTGAAGGTCACCAGCCATCAGGAGGTGGAGCTGGGATTCAAACCCATGTCTAATGGTGCTGGTGCAACAGCCTGAAGCACACCTGCAGGCCATTGCGTCCTCCCTGGCTACCTCAGGATGCTCACCTGGCCTCAGCTCCCTACCCTGTGCTCCAATTAGGTCAGTGGTTCTCAACCTTGGCTACACATTAGAATCATCTGGGAATCTTGTTAAAATCCTGATTTCTGGGCCTCATCCTCCGGAAATTCTGTTTCTTTGTTACTAATGATGAGGCCCAGAAATCAGGATTTTAACAAGATTCCCAGGTGATTCTAATGTGCAGCCAAGGTTGAGAACCACTGAATTAGGTGGTGCCCACCCCCTGCTTCCGCACTGGGTCACAGGCTCTTCCGCTTCCCACCGTGAAGGCTTCTCTCCTAGAACCTGTCTG